ACTGGGAGCACTGGGAGCCCATACTGGTCTGTACTGGTGCCCCCAGGGGATGTTCATCGTGCTGCTCCTGGGCTGGGTCTTCGTCCCCATTTACCTGAAGGCTGGGGTGAGTCGGGCAACTGGGAGGGACTGATTTATACTGGTTTATACTGGTTCCTTATCCATACTGGTCCTTACTGGTCCATACTGGTCCTTACTGGTCCGTACTGGTCCATACTGGTCCATACTGGTCCTTACTGGTCTGTACTGGTCCATACTGGTCCATACTGGTCCTTACTGGTCTGTACTGATCCATACTGGTCCGTACTGGTCCATAATGGCCTCTACTGGTCCCTACTGGTCCTTACTGGTCCATACTCACCCATACTGGTCTATACTGGTCCATACTGGTCCATACTCACCCATACTGGTCCATACTGGTCCTTACTGGTCCATACTGGTCCATACTATTCTATACTGGTTCATACTGGTCTATACTGGTCCTTACTGGTCCATACTGGTCCATACTGGTCCTTACTGGTCCGTACTGCTCCATACTGGTCCATACTGCTCCATACTGGTCCGTACTGCTCCATACTGGTCCATACTGGTCCTTACTGGTGCATACTGGTCCATACTGGTCCATACTGGTCCATACCCACCCATAGTGGTCTGTACTGGCCCATATTAATCCATACTGCTCCATACTGGTCCATACTGGTCCATATTGGTCCATACTGGTCCATATTGGTTCATACCGGTCTATACTGGTCCATACTGGTCCATACTGGTCCGTACTGGTCTAAACCAGCACATACTAGTCCATACTGGTCCATACTGCCCATACTGGCCCATACTGGTCCATACTGGTCCATACTGGTCCATACTGGTCCATACTGATCCATACTATTCTATACTGGTCCGTACTGGTCTGTACTGGTCTGTACTGTTCTATACTGTTCTATGCTGGTCCGTACTGGTCCATACTGGTCCATAGTGCTCCATACTGGTCCGTACTGGTCCGTACTGGTCCATACTGGTCTGTACTGGTCCGCACAGGTGTCGACGATGCCGGAATACCTCGGGAAGAGGTTCGGGGGGGGGCGGATCCAGCTCTACCTGGCCCTGCTCTCGCTGGGGCTCTACGTGTCCACCAAGATCTCGGTACTG